ATTCTAGAGCATACTTATAGCACGATGCCATTTTTATTTTGAAACATACTGGACCCAGTTTTCTTTATGTTTGAAATACATTTTCTTTCTTGGTGTATTTCATATCTTCTGAACCCCGTTTGCTTGCCTTTTATTTCAATTATTCCAGTATGTGTGCATGAACTAACAAGTGTAATTTTCTACTTCTTTCTTGGACTACTATGTGAGATTTTAATTATTGATGGTCTTAATTCTTATTTGTCTCTAAGACACTTATGAGATGTGATTCTGCAGGATCACATTCTGAATGAGTTGGGTATGGAATAATAAAGCACCTCATTGCTTGATTGGAGATAAATCTCAAAAAGAAGCTGCCAAGTCATTGGTCAGAACAGTGACTTATGCTAACTATGTGACTTTCAGTACATTCATTCCTAAATTTTCCTTTTTTTGCTACTGTTTTCTAACCCACTCTTACATACATCTTAAACAGTGAATGATGAAATAGATATCAAGGTAATAGTGCAATTGCACCTTCCTTTCTTATTCGAAAATAAATTCTAATTCAAGTTAGGGTATATGCTCGCATATGCACTTCAATTGAATATGTGTTGACAATAATAATCTCATAACTTTCTGCTTATCTTATAATGTTGTAGGTCAAAATTTTGCTCACCATTCATACAGAAGATAAAGTTCCCATGAAAAATGTTACAATTAGAAGGATTCCACGGTGAGTGTTCTATTGGTCTTCGAGTCTCCATATTCATTTCCATGTACGGAAAACCTTTTCGTGTCTTTTTCCATTCAAGTGGTAAGATGTCAGCTGTGATAGCAATGTCATATGAGTCATTTTACTTATCACTGCTTCATTTTTCTAAGTTGCAAAGTCTCTTATCTTTTTTTAAGAATCAAAATCGAAAAAGTAAACGAAATTATCATATTCAATACCAACTTGCAATGACAGGTTTTGCAAGAAATATTTGAGTTTTTCATTTAGGTTTTCTTGTTCTGTAAGTGATATCATTATGTGGATTTAGTTTTCTTTGGTTTGGGATGCTAGGTTTAAATCGATTAACATGCTAAATAAATTAATATCTGGTGTCAATTTTTATTCATTTTAATGCCTGTATCTATATTTTGACTATTTTTAGTCAATTTTTAAAATGTCTTTATCAAATGCCTTTATCTAAACAATCTAATTTTTGCTATTTGATGTCACACCTATCAATTTTCATAATTGATAAACCTTGGTTTTAATAAAACTAACTAGACTGGCTACAGCTTGATCTTTAAAATCCAGAATATAAAGCGTAACTTCAACCAAGACAAATGCTATGATATTTTTAACGTTTATGGATGATATAATCCACAAAGTGGAATATGATTTCAAATATGAAATTACTTTATAATGAATTATTAACCTGATTGTATTGTTGATTTGGGAATAAACTGTTCATTCAATTTACTCGTGCAATATTAAATTCTTCAATGTTGAAAAATGATTTTAAAAAGTATTAATTGTTTTAGGAATAAAGATATCACTAATAGAGGGCATCTTGCATATTCGAGAATTTTGTGTTCGAGAACTGAGCAAACAAGGACGACTGCCCTTTCAGATTAGGTAAACGTTGAATTGTTATTTAGTTTTGGGTTTTCAAATATATGACCTGATCAAATCCATTTTTATTATTTTCATATCATCTAAATTTACTTGAAGGTGGTGACAACTGGTGAGTATTGCTTTTAGTTCCATTTTTATTCATAATCTATTCTTCTATCTTCCATCATTTTGTTGTTATTTCACTTTATAGATCTCTTTAAGAGGACGAGGCCTTATTCTTACCGCGCCGGTAAAGATCTCTTTCACATTATTCACAAAGTTCTGGCTGAAGACCCTCTTTATGTCAGATATAAACATGTTCAGGTCAACTCATACCCCTTCCTTTGTTGACTTCTTTGATCGATTTCTAAATGGAGTATCTAGGCAACCCACAATTAAAAGAAAAAGATCCGGGCAGAGCGGTTTCTGTGTTTTGGGCAGCTAAGCAACTAAGCACCGATGTACCAATTTAAGATTGTCGTGAACAAAGACAAGGAGCCTCACCATATTCAGGTTACACTCATGATTTCAATATCGAATTTGAACTTACATGATGTTTCATCATGTACTTGCATCATATAAGATTAGGGTTCTTGAAAGTCCCAAATTTGCTTTTATTGAGTGGTAGTTTCATTTTAATTCTGTATTAAGTGGTAGTTTCATTTTCTAATTCTTTGAAAGTAAAAAGTGAGGTTACACTACAACAAAAAGGAATAACTTATATAGTGTTTTGGGATTTCACCTGATAGAGCACCTTTATAGTATTAAAATGTTGTGTTTTTATCACATCTTCAATGTGGGCAGATTTATGAGCTATTGGATCCATGCAAGAAAATAAAATAAGTCTTTTTTATAATAATGGTCTAAATTTAAAATCATTGAAAGTTTGAAGGCATCTTCAACTATTTTCATAGTGTTCAGGTTTTGCTATAGAGAATGAAATGTGATGCTTATTGTCATAGGTTAAAGGTATTTGACACTACTACTTCAAGATAAGCTTTCTATAAACCACTTTGGAATATTTTTCATTCTCTTGATCATTTAATGTTTTCTGCTTTATTATTAGAACAACTTTCTTTTTCGCAGTCACTTTTATTGCTGAAAAAAGGTAGAGACTTGAAATTGACATCCAAATAGATAACTGGACATGTATTAAAACAGTGAAAATTCTAACTGATAACGTCCATTGACAATTTTCATTTTCCTTTTTTGCTTTATGAGTTGCGTTTTTACACTTATTTTGTTCATGACGAATAGTTGACATTTGATGTGCTTAACTTTTGCCGCAGAGAACTAGAGTAGCACTTAGACCTGTGACTTTTTCCAAATCTCAGCCTTTCCTACCATTACTATCTTCTTCCTCTCAAAGGAGATTCAGGTCACCAAGATTTCAGCATCATGGTCTTTTTAACATGCTAAATAAATTAATATCTGGTGTCAATTTAGTTTAGTAATACTTGCTTTCACTCTATCGAAACTGCTCTTCTATATATTTATTTTATTAATCGAAGAAACACTCTTTTATCCGTATGTCCATTGGTGATTGAGAGGCTTAATGACGGTTAGGTTAGTCTTATTTGCACTTTTTTATCAAGCCATTTTTATCTACTGACATTAGATAACCTTATGTTTGTCGGACAGGGTACCAAAGTGATTGAAGGCCGAGCAAGAGCTATTGTTGCGGTTGGCTCAAATATTGTATGAGCAATATACTGATTCTATATCCTAAATATTGGAGAAGTATTTAACATGAATACCTTCCGCTGCGTAGCAATTAAGATTATACAACACGGACTTCTAGGTCTTTGATTGTTATAGAAATATTCATGCCTCAAGCAAAACGGGTCGAAAGAATCAACCACATGTTTGAAGCTCTTGGTCAATTGACGTATGAGAGGCATCCTTCTATCCTCCGCTCATTGTGATGCAAGCTTGCCTTTTAGTAGGAAGTCAATTATGTTTAGGGGTGACTTCAGACATATATTGTTTGTTTGTTCTAAAAGACATGAGCCAAGATATTGTACGTACAACCTCAAACTCTTCATTCATATGGTCATACTGTATTGCAGTCACACAATCTACGAGGATGTGACTTGCAAGGATGGATGGTGACTGGTGAGCCAAGTGGCCACAATATCCAATCTGGACTATCACTCAATGATATATTGGACGGTATTATTGTTTGAGTGGTATCTGATCATGTTGAATCTATTGTTGAGCATTTCTCATAACTTCTTAATTCAAAGTAATATGACTTCGTATCTTTATTTCAAGTCTATTCTTGCTCAATTTATGTGGTTGATGAGGTCAAAGAATACACATTGTGTCTGATAGATCCAGAGCTAAATACTAATCTAAGCTTACATTTAGCTTATCATTTAGCTCAGATATGACCTTCTACACGAGATGCATTCTTTTAGCTAAATGTTCTGGATTTTAAACAAAATTAAATGTTCAAGTTTGTCAATTCATTAGCTAAAGCTCAAAATTAACTTATGAGGAATATAGATCATTCATCCAAATTGTACAATTGTCTCCTTATAGCTTAAAGAACAGGTATAGATATTTTATTCAAATGATTTGTGGTGATTATACTTTGAGCACCATTAGACATTAGACTTATGTCGACTTTTAGCACACACAATTTTTATTAATTGTTAGGTTTGAAATGGCCATTAATAAGATTCACGTGCAATTGTTGAAAAAGGTTGCCATCTTACTCTATCGCCCCATTATTACTCACAAACATTTGTACATGGCGGTGTGGAGAGTAACGAGTTCATGGGATTGGAGTTTGTAATGACGAAGATGGACAACCAACCAAATCAATGTTGAATGTTATTTACAAAAAAATATTTACTATAGAGTAGTTTATAATTTTCGTTGTAGTGTGGGACTTACATGCACGTCCATTTCGTCGTATGATGTTTTCCATTTAGTTCTTACCATTTATTCAGAATTTGTTTAATGTTTTCAAATAATTCTAACACAATCATTTTTTAAAATATTTTTAAATATATAATAATATCTAAATTATTATGTGGGTGGAGTAACTAGTTAGACCTAAAAGCAAAAATGGACTGGCAACCTTTTCAGATCTAGCCAAGATCCGTTTTCAGGTTTTGGTTCCCATCTCTAAAAAATGTGCACACATAAGCAAAGTCAAACAGGCTTCGTGTTTACAACAAATTGTAAACAACATTTTATACGTCTTTCAAAATGTCTTTGCACAGATTATTTTTTCATTTTGTGAAGAAAATGTCTTTTGCACTAACCATTTCATTTTCCGTGACACAAACAATATTTCTTTTTCCGTGCTATAATTGGTTCTCTTCACAAAAAAAAATATTATCCGTGGGGAGACAATTTGACCACCTTTATAAAATACTTTGTAGAATTGCCGTGTAGAAAGTAGAAACCGAATTTCGGAAGCAAAGTTTTTTTTTTTGAGAATATTGCTGAAGCAAAGTTAACTCCTGGAGAAAAAAGAAAAAAGAAAACTGCAGATCTGAAAATCTGATTGCTCGCATCACTACACAGTCTACGCCATTCACCTCTTCCCGCGTTTTCAGATCTTCCGATCGACTCCTCCTCCTGAATCTACGCCACGGCTATTTCTCACAGGGTTCGGATTGTCTGATCCTTATAGCTGGTACTCATTACAAATAGGTTGATACATAATGACATAATGTTGTAGTAATACTCTGTATTTGATTTCTGTAGCCTGTAGTCGTTCGAGTTTGATTTCATGATTCTTTATTCGTTTAATTTGTGTGTGCCAGTATCTCTAAACATCACAGTGAATAGAATATTTGGTTTAGGAGTTGGTTTATAAATACTTGCAAATTATAACTGTAAATCGTTATAGTTTGTGTTTAGAAAGTCACGTCCAGCTCAGCTGGTGGTGGACTCACTCTCCCTTAAGGTCGGGTTTGAAAGGAGTGAGTTTTAGCCTAGATTACTCCAGGCTCCCCAAACGCCCTCCACGAGACGCCCTAGAGTAAAAAAAAAGTCATAAAGAGAGCCGGAAGGCCAAATTCATGAATTATTAGCTGTGTTTTATGTTTGGGAGTATTGGATTTAGAAGATACAGTTCAATGGTGTAGTATCTCACCAACAACAAACAACATACAAGCCTTATTTCCAAAAGATTTTGGAGTCGGCTAACATGAATTAATCCATGATATCAAAGTACAAAAGAAAATAAAAATAAAAAATAAGGTAAGATAAAGATAAAGATAAGATAAAAGAATATAAGAAATATAAAATATAGAAAATACTATCGTAATATAAGAACACAAGAAAGATAAAGAAGATTTAAAAAAAAAGAGAGAGAGAAAAGAGAGAACTAGATAGTTCAAATACAACATCGAATCCTTATTCCCAAAAAGATTTTGGGGTCAACTAACATCTTATGGGAATAAAACAACAATTCTCAGCAACTAGATTTGTTTGTAAATAAAAATATCCAAGAGCAATATAAATTAAAAAGAGATGAAATATAAGTTTTAATATAAATTATAAACATAAGAAAGTCCCAATATGTATTCCTTCCACGAGAAAGGGAAAATTTTGTGCAGATGTGTAGATGAGTAACAACCTTTATTCTTCACCTTCATTCATGGAGAGAATAAAGAGAATGAAGGTGAGCGTAGAAGGAGAAAAAGTGGTTCTGGTACCATACATGAGAGAGCACGTCCAGAAGTACCACGAATGGATGCAAGACCCTTCTCTCCTTCAAGCTACTGGTTCAGAGCCATTAACTCTAGACGAAGAATATGATATGCAGCTTTCTTGGACCCAAGATCCCTTAAGTAATAACTTCTTTTAATACTTCAACCAACTGATTTAATCTTTACTAAATTTATTTTGTTCTACTTTGATCTGTTTTGGTTGAAAATAGATTATTTTAAATACTCGGGTATTCTTTTTCTGTTCCTGTTTCGGTTTTCGCAGAACATACTTTCATAGTATTGGACAAGGACCTAATTGTTGGCGACTTTTTCCATGGAGACCCCCACGTTGAAGGTCAGTGATCTGGCCTTCCCCCTTAATATTAATTGATGAATAGTTGTTGCACGTTGGACCTACTTTTTTTTAACTATTTAGACTGTTGTCTTGTGCAAGTTAACCCATCTTTTGCTGACGGTCTGTGTTTCTTTTCCATTCTACTATTGTTATGCCTAATTCTAGGCTATTTTGGCAGCCATGGTTGGTGATGTGAATATTTACTTGAATGACTTGGACGATTCACATATTGCTGAGATTGAAATAATGATAGCTGAACAAAAACGGTAAAAGCTTTGTTATTTGAAGTTATTAACTGTTTTATGCCCTAGTCATAACAAGACTAATTTACCTGAAGAGCAGAAAATGAGGAATTTTATATCTGATTCTAGTTTTCTTAATGTTATGCTTGACTGCTTGTTATAAGGGCGATTCGTAGATTCTGTTGCATTCAGTTATGTTGATCATCATACACTCACATTTGCATGGTTACCTTTGTTTTTGGATTTTGTGTGTCAATTCTGTTATCTATAAGTGTACCCATTTTTCAGATATTCTGTATAATTTTATCTTCGTGTTCTATTTTTCCTTCGATTGCTTGGAATTATTGCTAGTGTAGTCGCGGCAAAGGGCTTGGTAAAGAGACCGTTCTTTTGATGATGGCATTTGCTGTGAGAAATTTTGGGGTCAAAAACTTCCGAGCTAAAATTGGAGAGTCAAATAAAGCTTCTCTCAGTCTATTCCAGAAGTTGGTATGTTTGTATCCCCACTATTGAGACTTAATTTTTGTATGCCCGATACATGTTTTTCTCTGAGGCAGTTGCATGTTGCATGGGCTGTTGCATGTTTTGACTTTTTTGTATATATTTAAGTTCTTGTTTAATGTTTTTATTGACTTATTGTTACAGTACAGTCATGTTCAGTGATTTGCGGTAGATTTTACAACATTATCAATCTATGAACATGACATGACTGGCAATACTATTACAGTATCACACATCATCGTTGTCTCATTTTGCATGTGGGGAATTGGAGTTTGCATTCCACATTTTCATCTCATATGAACTAATGAACCTTTCATTTTTAACATCATTTATATTTGAGTTGCACTTTGCACGTTTCTTTTATTTTAACATCATTAATATTTGCACCCCAAATTTGCTCCCCATGTTTAACAGGTATTTCTATCTTTTCGGCGCAAATATTAATACTTTAAACATTGAGGTGCAGGCTCAAATTAGATTAAGAAAGGTGGGGGTGCAAACTCCAGTCCCCCCTTCAAAATTCCATTTCTATGTTTCTTCTCAAGAAAGTTGCAACATGAAGAGCATCTGGCATAGAACTGTCACTTTGCTGCTTTCTTGTGAGAATTTATAGTGTTTGGGAACAATCGACAATTAAACAATACGGAGTACTAAATTTCATTTGGCATGAGGCTGGGTTGAAACTTGAAATACATTTGAATGATATATTATGGTGCACTGACAAATCTGACAGCAGAAAACCTCTGATGTTATTGCAGGGATTTGCACAAACTTCTTACAGTCAAATCTTCAGTGAAGTGAGTTTGCAGCTGTGTTATTGTATACTCCCTCCGTCCCCCAATTAAGTTCCCACTTTCCTTTTTGGGCAGTCCCTAAATTAAGTTCACACTTCAATACTTTCCTTATTTGGCAAATAATCTACATCAAAAAAGTGCCAAACAGTGCCAAATATTGTAAAACAGTGTTTAAACAGTGCAAAACAGTGCACTACACAGTAAAGTCAAATTTATTTTCTTAAGATGTGTGAAGTCAAACCAGGAACTTAATTGGGGGACGGAGGGAGTACAATATAGCTTATTAATTATTATGTCATGTGTAAGTTGACATCCTCATTTGGTTTGGACAGGTAACACTGGAGTTACCATTGACAGAGGCAAAATGTGAGGAGCTTCTTCAACTGATTGATAAAATGGTTATACATTCATAGACCATGTATGATTTTTGTAACCAACGTCTAACTGCTTCCATAACACGGCAAAGCCCGTCTAGATTTTTTATCGATGTGTAATTAGTTGGAAGGTTTTGAATGAGCTCCCAGTCTGCAAATGTTTGGATTTTTTTCTACTGCAATGGTTTTTATTGCTTTGGTTAATTCAAACCTCATCACAAGATTTGTTCTGCTTTGTCTGGGTTCCCCATTTTCTCATAGTTTTTTTTGCTTGTTGTCTGACTTCAGTTTTCAGAGAAACATGAGCAGCAATTTCTACACTACAAGTCTACAATTACATTCTATGTGCCTTCATACTGAAAACGGAAATTTGATTTTACTTTTTTTTGGATAAAGGGTAATTATATATATCAACCAAAGAGTTTATGTACAAGTAAAGAGTTTATGTACGGAAAAGATTTTACTGGTACTACTAACTTACTAAGATGTCACCGAACTTGCAAGTTTAACGGTTTTGGTAAATCAATGTTGTTCCGTGCTTGTTCCAGCCAACCTCCTTGTCCCGGTTATTTTATTTTGTAACGAGTATTATGAAAAAATTGAAAATAATAATCACAACTATTGTCGATCCGCTAACAATAATCCCAACTATTGATTATTTTTGTATAATCCCAACTATATGGACCGTCCGTCAATAATGGTCCATGATTAGATATTACCAGCTATAACAAGTGAATTTTAAATAGAAAAATTAAGCGTAAATATTAAAAGTTGAGATTATTTATAGGGATTACTTGTTATATCTCTTCTCATCCACTTTAGAAACTATAAGAATTTATTTATAGCAGACCACGTTGGATCATTATTGACGGAAGGTCCAAAGCAAGGTGCTACACCTTGTTATTTTATATAATTATAGATAGATTATCATCATCATCATTATTTTGAATTGAAAATATTCCACTTACTCCAATATTCATGTAACTCTTATTTTTTTAATGGGTATGAAGCATTAAATGTCTAATTGGAGGGAAAAGCAAGGTGCTACATTAATGGAGGTTTGAACAACTAAGCTATGAAGAATAAGCAGTGGGGAGGAAGAAGAAACTCCCCTAGGAGAGAAGAGCCAAAGATCAGCTCCCTTAAAATGGAAGCCTTGCTTCCTATTTATAGAGGGAGGAGGGGAGCCTTTCTTCCCTGATGGGCCGGAAAAGGCTTTAATGGGCCGAGCAAGCCCAAGTAGGCCGAGTGGGCCTAAATGGCTCTAAAGGGCCTCGCCGACTGAGCTTCATACCGGGGTGATGTCTTGGGCCTCTGAACAGTAATAAGTCGGGATAATATACCCTAACACAAGTCCCCCAGTTTCTTGAGTAGTGAGCATGCGAATCTACTTGAGAAAGTATACTCCTGCTCACGTCCTTCCCCGTCTTCCTTGAATCAGTGTCTTTGAACAGTCTTGGACGCAAGGCATACATAAGTGATAGGTGATGTGCAGTCCCCAATTAAATGTCTAATTGGAGGGAAAAGCAAGGTGTTACACCTTGTTACTTTATATTATGTTACTTTATATTATTATAAATATATTCATGTAACTCTTATTTTTCAATGGGTATGAAGCATTAAATATTTAATTGGAGGGAAAAGCAAGGTGCTACACCTTGTTACTTTATATTATTATAGATAGATAGATCATCATTATTATTATTTTGAATTGAAAATATTTCAATTACTCCAATATTCATGTAAATCTTATTTTTTAATGGGTATGAAGCATTAAATGTCTAATTGGAGGGAAAAGCAAGGTGCTACACCTTGTTACTTTATATTATTATAGAAGATAGATAGATGTCTAATTGGAGGGAAAAGCAAGATGCTACACCTTATTACTTTATATTATTATAGATAGATAGATATTCATATATCTCTTATTTTTCAATGGGTATGAAGCATTAAATGTTTAATTAGAAGGAAAAGCAAGGTGCTGCAGCTTGCTATAGCACTCTCTTAATTCCTCCGCTCACCTATCATTATGTCCGATTTTACCTTCCTTTTTTTCGAATTTACCTTCCAATCGCACATGCCACCTCCTAGCAGCACTCTCTTCATTTGAAAGGTTTCTAGTTTTAACGATTTCAACATCTGCTAATATACTAAACTACCCATCTCTTCAACCCACTATTTTATAAAGAGTTTTCATTATTTGGTACTCGGGGCAGGGCTTTTCTCATCATCATCATCATCATCATCATCATCATCATCATCATCATCATCATCATCTTTATCCCTCTTTTTTCTTTCATCTCTTCTTTGTACTCTCCTTTACTCAAAAATAAATATTCTTTGCCAAAAAAATAACCCTCTTTCAAAATTTGATAATGATTGTAAGATTAAAGTAAGAATTGATTTACCTATATATAATGTTTTTTAAGAAAGTTTGAAATTAGATGTATATAATATATGATTATATTACATAGAAATAAAAAAAATATAAGTATTACCAATAGATGTAACTAATATTTCATTAATACACACTAGATTCCTAATATAATAATACCAATTATATTTATTATTGAGATTAATAATTTATAAAATTTCTATAACCCTAAAAGTCTTTAAGTTCGAGTTTTAAGCGGTCCGGTTCCCATTTGGGTTTGAGCGGGCCACCGGTTATAAAGTTTTACCCATTTTAGCGGTTTACATCAAATCGGGCTGATTTTAGGACCTATTGAACCATCTGGTCTGATATAGTTCTAATAACACAAGTACAAAATCACATTTGGTTCTAGTTCTATTTTATTTTGAGACTTGGATCATTTAGGCGAATTTTATTTTTGTTGTTAGTAAGTGTTTACTGATTAGAAGTAATGAGACTCTTAAGGCTAAACGAATCTTCAAAGCTCTCAACTCATATAATTAAAGATCGGATTTGTGTACATATGAGTGAGGGAGCTTTCAAATTATTAATAATATTGTGTACATAGGAGTGTAACTTGAAAGAGGGTCATGCTGGACCCTAGCTCTCACATACTCTTACATAGACTAACTGTATTAAAACTTCTAAAAAATAATGTGAAAATAATCATTCTTTCTACCTAACAACATATTATCTTCACTAAATAATATACACAACCCAGAAAAATCATGATTGAGTTTTCAGATTATTGTAGTCAAATAATTTCATATATTTTTGCAAAGGTGAAATATTTTGATACATTTATCAAATTTACAACGCATTTTTATCAAATCAACATAACTTTTGGTATATATAGACAACAAGATCTTAGATTCAATGTCTTAATTTATTTTTATTTTTTACCTGAATGAGACTTGTATATGAAGCATGTGTGTGTAGAGGAGGACCTGTAGAAAATTAAGTGTAGATAAATTGTAACACGAAGCACATTCTAATATGCAGTATACAAATATAAAGAAAACAGTGAGTTATATAAATCATTTATATAATAAATAAGTATAATAAAAGGCTTAAAGAATGTTCAATTCTCGTCAATCGCTCATCACTCGAATTGCTGAACAAATTTTCAATTAGTCAAGTCTAAAACAAACACTTGGAAGGCATGCCACTAAGAATTCCTACAATTGTGCATATAATTCCATGGATGTAAATTCTTTTCTCTCCTTATAAATGGATCATAAACATATTGTAACCGTCAATATCTACTTTCATCCGAAAGTAAAAAAAATAACTCTTAAATAAAAATTACTTAAGTAAGAAATAAAAAAAACATGGGTCTCAAGGTGGTTCAAGCTGCATGGATGTTGTTCTGTGTAGCATATGTTGTAGTTAACGTCGAGAGCGCTGAATTTAATGTCAAAACCTATGGAGTTAAAGGTGATGGTACATCCGATGACAGTGAGGTACATATAAACGATTTACAACGCAGATATAATGAATATATTTGTATGTCAAACTCTAATATGATATGTATGATGAATGATATTGTTTTTGAATTAGGCAATTCTTAAAGCATGGGCAGACGCATGCAAAGCAACAGATAAAAGCACTCTTATAATTCCTGCAGGAAAGTACATGGTAGGTCCCATGAAGTTGATGGGCCCATGTGGGAATCCTATAACTTTTCAAGCCGATGGTGCAACATTTATTGCACCAACTGATCTCACAAGGTATAAAGGACAAGATGGGTGGATCCTTTTCTATGGCATTGAAGGTCTCACTATTTCTGGTGGTACTCTCGACGGTAAGGGACAAGATGCTTGGAAAGCAAACAACTGCAAGAAGAGTTTCAGTGGAAATTGCAAATTCCTCCCCATTGTAAGTATGTTACATGTAGGCATTTCTTTGTTTGCATGGCAATGTAACAAACATGTGGAAATCTGAAATGAGAAACAACAATATCCTTTAATAGATAATAAGTGCTCGGAGGTAATCTGAGAGTTTTTATAGTGTTTCGGAACCGGAAACATACACTTTCTAGGTGCTTCATAGTTCACAATTAATCAATTAACCTATGCAATTTTAATGTGTTACAGAACTTGAATTTGGGAGGATTGACAAACGCGGAAGTGAAAGGCGTAACTTCTTTGGACAGCAAATTTTTTCACATGAACGTCATCCAAGGTAAGAACGTGACCCTTAGTGACATCACCATCACAGCACCGGCAGACAGCGCAAACACTGACGGCATCCACATCGGTCGCTCTGACGGAGTTTCAATCCTCGGTGCAACCATAAAGACCGGTGACGATTGTGTATCTCTTGGGGACGGCGCCAAGCAGGTTAACATCGAGAATGTGAATTGCGGCCCAGGCCACGGGATCAGCATTGGAAGCTTAGGAAAGTACAAAGACGAACAACCGGTGGAAGGAGTGACCGTGAAGCATTGCACCCTAACCAACACAGATAACGGCGTGAGAATTAAGACATGGCCGGCGTCACCGGAAGGGACGGCCTCCGGCATGCACTTTGAGGATGTCACCATGGAGAACGTAAGCAACCCAATATTGATTGACCAAGAATATTGCCCGTGGAACCAGTGCACCGCCGGGGTTCCATCCAAAGTGAAGATCAGTGACGTCAGCTTCAAGGGCATCAAGGGTACGTCCGCTACAAAAGTGGCCGTGAAACTCGCCTGCAGCAAAGGAGTGCCGTGCGAGAAGGTAGAGGTGGGTGATATCAATCTGGAATACAAAGGAACCAACGGCACCGCCATCTCTGAATGCAACAATGTCACGCCTACGCTCACCGGTAAACAATTCCCCGCCGTTTGTGCACCTGGCGGAGCCGCAGCCCCAACCCCAGCTTAGACAAATTAATATATTCAACCCTAAATAATAAATT